CGTCGCCGTCGCCGGCCGTACGTGAGCACCTCGCCGTCGCCTTCGCCGGCCGTACGCCGGCCACCGTCATTTTTTTGTTAGATTAATTAGATTTTTTTGTTAGGTTAGATGTGTAGTAATTTAGATATGTAGTTCATTGATTTTTTTGTTAGATTAGATTTTTTTTGTTAGATTAGATGTGTAGTAATTAATTTGTTTATACTATGTTAGATTTTTTTGTTAGATTAATTAGATTTTTTTGTTAGATTAGATGTGTAGTAATTTAGATATGTAGTTCATAGATTTTTTTGTTAGATTAGATTTTTTTTGTTAGATTAGATGTGTAGTAATTAATTTGTTTATATTATGTTAGATTTTTTTGTTAGATTAATTAGATTTTTTTTGTTAGATTAGATGTGTAGTAATTTAGATATGTAGTTCATAGATTTTTTTTGTTAGATTAGATGTGTAGTAATTAATTTTGTTCATAGAATTTTAATGATTTTTTTGTTCATAGTATTTAGAAAAAGGAAAAAAATAAGAAGTAGTTTATATATAGTTGATCTAGCTAGTTGATTTAATAAACTAATTTATTTTACTATATATAGAAGTAGTTTGTTTTTAGTAAGTACTACTTATTTATTTATAGTAAGTGCTTAGTAGTTGAACTAGATAGTTGATTTAATTAATAAAACTACTTCTATTTAACTATATATAGAAGTAGTTCCTGCATCGACGTCGGCGATGCCTATCCCGCATCCTCGTCGTCGTCGACTCGGCGGTGGAGGCCTGCTTGGTCAGGGCCATGTTCGGGACTGGGCTCCACCGGGCTGGTATTGGGAGGTGCTACCTTCCGGGGGACGTAGGTTGGTGAGGAGGCAGACCGTTGTTGACCCGATCCTTGTTTGGTGGCGGTCGCGTGGGCCAGTGACGGTGGTGAGGCATCCGGACACCGCGGAGGTGGTACGTCACCGTGTCAGCGAGGAGGACGAGCACGTCCGTCGCTACATGGTTGCATTGGAGGGCAGGTTCGACAATACCTGGCAGGTTCTTCAGGGATCTCACTGGAGCTATGATCCTGTGATGGTTCCTTATCTTTGGGTGTCCACCGCCCGCGTCGATACCCGTCGAGGGCTACGGTTCTAGTTGTATTAGTGATAATATTCGACGATGTACGGACACCAAGAGATGATGTACTTTTGCTTATAATTATTGAATGCATGCTAATTTGAATACTATACTTTAATTTATGATTTGGTTTTGCTTATTTTATGATTTGGTTTTGCTTATTGAATGCTCATATTGGATAAGTTCTCCTTCATTCCTGTGTGCTAGACAATTTGATATAATAATGCATTCGGGAATGAAAGGAGGAGCTACGTACATCGATCATCGATAGTCAACCCATGATTAATAATAATGATCTAGTTTAATATTTGAATTATGAACGCAGGTCGGAAATATCGTACTCATCGGACGACGAAAACCGCCGGGGGGAGTGCGACTGGTGCCACGACGACCGAGGTATCTGCGACAGGTTCATTGAGCTGGACGAAGATCGTCGCTTCAGCATTAAGCTCGAGGAGACCTTCGATGTTCATACGGTGCGCAAGCGACGATAATAGTTTTTTTTCGTAATTACTCATGACTTCAACTATTTTAATCATGACAATATTTTTTATCTTTTCCAATTCGACTAGCTTATCCCATGCTTTGCAAGACGCTATGTCTTGGAGAGGATGGGTTTTGAAGACCATGAAAGTATGGAAACCAAAAAAATTATCCTAAGTACCCATCATGGTGTGGATTTTCAAGTAAAGCTGTACAATGCTCAGAGTGTAACCCATTTTGATTGCAAAAATTGGGAAGCACTTTGCAAGATGTATGGTTTTGATGAGGGTATGCTTGTTACCATGGATCTTGGTGATCCTACAATCGAGCAAGAGAGACCTACGATTTTCGTCCTTATGGATACACCTCCAATTCTTCCCCCATGTGAGCTTAACATAGTTATTAAGTAATTTATATTGTTTATTTCAAAATAGTTGACAACTTATTCTCCATTGACAGCTTATTTTCATTCTTCAAAGAATGTGCGGAAGATGGTAGACAGAACCTACTACACCGAAGGCTCCGAACTAACTTATCAGGAGAAAAATCATCTGGTCGCATTTTGTACTGATCTTGAGAATTACAATGTCTACAATCGAACTCCTCAACATTATGGTCAATACGTGCCACTAGTGCACGTGTTGAACTACGGTAACTACCATGGAGATACCCTGGTAAGATTTTTTACTATTACGACATCCGTGCATCTTTTTACACACTTCTAAAACTAGTACATCATATCATTGCTAACTACGAAGTTATTCCTATGTTTTTCAACAGATAATACCGAATGATTGTGTGCCTCATCTGATGTATACACACGGTAGCCTTCATGTTTTGAACATACAACCAGGTCTTCCTACGAATCTGAACTGTCCATACCGGGTTTCTAAAAGAAGTGGAGACATGACAATCAAAGAATGGAAAAAATGTATGGACAGTCGTAAGGAGCTTCTTGGAAGCAACATTCAACGAAGGGCAAAAATTGAAGACAGGATGATCGCCATTCTTCATAATGGAGAGTCATGGTCTATATTGTTTTATGCTATTTTACCTTAAGGGTGTTTAGGTCCTACCTGATACTGATGATCATGTGTTAAGAACAATTATGTAGGGTTGGGTTCGATGACTATGAGGATGATGATCGTATGACTTATTATTAATAACGAGTAGAAGTTGTATGATGATGCATGATTAGTAGGACGAGTACTTGTTATTATATACGCTGATGTATGCGAGCATGCATGAGTTATTATATCAGCGGGTAAAATGAACATATATAGCAGCAGCGTTGGTAAACCAAGGACGAAGATATAAGGGAGGACACTTCTCTCTATTAGCTAGCTAATATAACAACCTAAAAATAACCCCCAAAACCCCTAAAGCAGCCACTTTCCAAAAAAAAAGGACTTTTGGTCCCGGTTGGTTCCACCAACCGGGACCAAAGGCCCCTAACTGGGCTCGACACACAGAGCCACGTGGAGGCACATTAGTCCCGGTTCTTGTTTGAACCGGGACTAATGGGTGGAGGTATTAGTAACGGCCCATTAGTCCCGGTTCATGAACCGGGACTAAAGGCCCTCACGAACCGGGACTATTAGGTGTTTTTCTACTAGTGGGGGAGGCATTAGTAACGACCCTTTAGTCCCGGTTCAAGGCCCTTACGAACCGAGACAAATGCCGTATTTTCTACTAGTGGGGGGATCAACCAAGAAACAGTGATAAAAAGGCACAGATCACAAGCTCACAATAAGCAACTGCTTTACTACTAGGATGCAAAGTATTTTCAAGGCTTTCTAACATACCATGGTTCCCGGAAAACCTATGGTTTGAAATAATCTTAGGTGTTTGGATACAAGAAATACTAGTCTGACAGTACACTTCAACTCTGTAAGGCATGGTATTCTCAATTCTGTGGTTCTTTCTGGGGTATTTAAAATCCACCTCCTTGCCTCTGTTTTTACCAAGAAAACAATGTTTGTTACCCTGTAAATTCCATCTACGTCTGGTTGATCTAGGCTGGACACGACTAAAGCATTGTTCTGCCATGCTTAGGACAAGATATGTTTAGCACTCCAAAATGATTGTGAAACATGCCAACAAATTCTAATTTTAATGGTAGGAGCTAACAAGGGATTTACCAGCAGGAAAAGGAGGTGCCAGTAGTACAAAAAGAAAACATCTTACAGATGTATAGATACATATCAATAAGCAAACTATACGTGCAAAGTATTAACATGCATAAGAAGCTGAGCAAACAACACACTTTGACTTTGGTGTTCCACATGCATATCGTTCATTTTTTTAAATGTTTTCAGCATTAAATAGCATGCCTTTTTTTCAGAAAAGGAGGAGGACCCCTGGCCTTTGGGCGATGCATGCGGCCACTTTATTAATTTAAATAGAATGCCTAAGTTATCTGCTAAATACTGCTGGTGTAAAATACTCAATGGTTTTGCAAGTTTTTGCAGAAAAAAAGTAATCTTAGTAACTTCAAAAGCTGTGTTTTTTTTTTGCATTAAAAGCTCCAAACAGAGTCTAACATTATAATAAAAATACGGTAACTTCTAATTTGGGTGTCCAGATAGTTTTTACTAGTATCTGATATGTAAATCAGCATGCAATTTCCCCAATGCATTCAATAATCCTATGCAGTACAATAGAAGCCATAATTTACATAACTAAATCATCAATCATGCGAAGCCTGCAACTTAAGAGCTAACTTGCTGCTCCACAACTTCCACAAGCGATCCATCGTGTCTCTTCCCACTTTGGCTCAGCTCTTCCAATGGTTTCACCAGACCACCACATTCTTCCTGAAATAGGAAGGGCAGAAGCATTGGGTCATACTCCTTCTGATGCTCCTCTTCTTCTGAAGTCCTTGCTGCATCCTTGATCCGATGAACCGCCTCCTTCATTTCCTTGCGTAGATCTCTATGTTTCTTGCTCTCCTCCCTTCTCCCCCGCAGGCGCTCCAGCTTCTCCTCCTCAGTCTCATGTCTTTGGAGCATGAACTCCTCCTCTTGCCGGTACACCAGCTCCTCACTTCCCCGATGACCTTGTTTCTCAGGCTTACTATTTTTCTCTTGCTCCTCTTGTAAATACAGCTGGTAAAGTTTCTTGATCAGATTCTTGACGGGGGCATTGATGTCTATGAAATCAAGACCAGTTGGGGCATACATTGGAATCTCCTCGAAGTTTTCAGAGACGTAGAAGGACTGCTCCGTGAATCTCAGGGGCACAGCGGCAGACGGGACGTGCAACACAAGGAGGATATCATCAAGCTTAACACCAAGTCCATGAACATAGGACATGACAGAAATCCCATCACCACCAGGCAACCTTTTGATGACGGCGACCTCCCTGAGAGGCACGGAGGAGCCTTCCTCGAAGATGCCCTCCTTGGGGCGCGGCCACCCGCTGTACGTGACGTCGATGAAGGAGGAGAGGGCGCCCGGCTGCCCGCCTTGCCCTGCCTGCTCTACACGAAACCCCTCGGCTCCCGTGCCCAGGCGCGCGACGCGCAGAGGATTGTGCCACGCTCGGTCCCGTGGGTAGCGGGGATACTTCTTCATCGACCACGATATCCGCGCCGTCTCGGCGGACGCCTTCATGCTGATGAGGAAGAAGGGCTGCTTGGGGTCTACTCTTGGGCCGCTCCTCTTCTCGGTGAAAGAGTACTGGGGTTTGGGGGGCCACCCCCATTCCCTCAGCTGGGTGTCCTCCGATGGTTCGGCGAAGGAGGCGAGTAGCTGCTCCAGCAGGGTGGCGTAGACCTCCTCTCTGGCCTTCAGCCCTGTTTTCATGGCCGCCGAGAGGACCGCGTCGGCTGGTATCCCGCTCTGCGCGAGGGCGTGGCAGGCCAGATCGGCGTTGTCGTTGACGTGGTTAGCGGCGAGGGAGAGGATCTGCTCCACCTCCATGCCGGCCTCTGTCCCGCTCCGAACGGCGTGAGAGAGGGCCTCCATCTTCTCCTCGCGCGTATATTGGATCGGCGTTGATGGGAGGGAAGCACAAGCCGGCGAGAGGCTTGGCCTTGCTCCGGACAACCTCGGCCGGCGGGAAACTCTGCGCGACGTGTTCGTCCATGTATCTGGCTTTATGGCGACAGGAGAGCTTCGCCGCCGAGGAGCGTGGAAGAAATATCGGGGGAATTTTCCGGCTGCGAGTCTGCGACGGACAGAGAGACGGGGGATATCTGGGCACGTTTATATCTCGCCTCCTGCGAGTCGGAGGCGGACCGGGCGCTCAGCGACGTCGCGTGGCATGGGCCGGCCTATTACACAATAGCAACACGCCGGCCCTTTTTTTTTATTAAGAGGGGGTTTCCCTCCGATTTCATTAACGAAATCAACGACATAAGTAATAGTTCACAGCGGAGTTAAGACGCCAAATTCTGCCCAGTCATACATAAGTTCTGAAGCCAGCAAAAAGAAGACCACAAGCAGAAGCTGACAGCAAAGACGAACAAAGCCATAACAAATGGGACAAACTCAGGAGCTACTACAAACTACTGCCAACTACAGCTAATCTCTAGCAGCTCCCAGCCTTCTCATGCCAGGCCTCCATCCTTGCGACGTCTTGTAGACTTCACTTGCCACCCGCTATATTATTTTTGCCCCCAGCATCAGCATTTTTTCCTATGGGTTTTTTCTCTCTGCAAAATAGACCAGCCAATAATCCAATTGCACATCTTTCTAATAACCATCATGGTGTCATTCAAATTCTTTGGTCTAAACACCATATCGTTTCTGCATTTCCAGATGGACCAAAACATCTTTGGTCCATCTAAGCACCCAATTAATTGAACCTTTTTCTATGAAAGAGCTACATGATGTGGTCTTTGGATGGAGAAAAACAAAAATCCTGGTCCTGATGGTCTTCCTGCTAACTTCTACCAACACTTTTGGGAGGTTGTCAAATGGGACCTGGAAAGTTTGCTAGATGAATTTCATTCTGGCACACTACACTAGATATAAAAAGACTGGATTATGGGATAATTACTTTGATTCCAAAAGTTAAAGATGCCAAACAAATTCAGAAATATAGGCCAATATGTTTACTCAACATGAGCTTCAAAATTATTACTAAGGTGTTGATGAATACACTAAGTAGGGTTATTAAACCTATCATCTCACCTACTCAGACATCCTTTATCAAAGGGAGATACATTATGAAAGGGGTTGTGGTGCTTCATGAAGCTCTGAACACAATACATGAAAAAAACAGAGTGCCATCCTTTTTAAAGTTGATTTTGAAAAAGCATATGACAAAATTAAATGGCCATTTGTGTATAAAACGATGAAGCTTAAAAATCTACCTGACAAATGGTGTGATTTGGTGATGCATACTATGGTAGGTGGTTAGGTAGCTATAAAGGTGAATGATACCATTGGACCATACTTCAAAACTCATAAAGGGTTGAGACAAGGGGATTATCTCTCTCCCCTATTGTTTGATGTAGCTGTAGATGCTCTAGCTATTATCTTGGATAGAGCAAAGAAAAAGGGTTTTGTTAAAGGGGTCCTACAAGATATGGGAAATGATGATGACACCATATTCCTATTGTAGGATGATGAAGACAGTGCCAAAAATCTCAAATTCATTTTAACTACATTTGAACAAATGTCTGGGCTTAGTATCAACTTTCATAAAAGTGAATTATTCATGTTTGGGGAAGCAGCAAATAAAGTTGACCAATACCAAAGAATATTCACTTGTGAAATAGGGAAATTCCTTTTAAATATATGGGCTTACCTGTATCCAATATAAGATTGGGCAATAAAGTCTGCAAGGAAGTTATAGAAAAAATTGAAAAGAGATGTGCTTGCTGGAAAGGGAGGCTGTTTAATATGGCAGGTAGAGTGACCCTCGTACATGCATGTTTGACAAACATTCCACTTTTCATGATGTCCTTCTATCCACTTCCAGCTGGGCCTAGAAAAAAAAGCTGACTTTTATAGAGCTAGACTTGTCTGGCAAGAAAATGAAGATAAGAGGAAATATCATTTAGTTAATTGGAAGACATGTTGTCTACCAAAAGAACAAGGAGGGCTGGGGATTCTGAATCTTGAGATAATGAACAAACCTTTATTAGCTAAACGGTTTTAGAAATTGAAAACTGAAAATGGAATGTGGGTTGATATTATTAGAAACAAATATGTCAAAAAATGCATCTCTGGGATTGAGAAAAAAACCTGAAGACTCACAATTCTGGGGAAGTTTGATGGGGGTGAAGAAAATCTATTTCCAGCATGTGAATAGGAGACTAGGAGATGGCAAGAACACTAGGTTTTGGAAAGACTGGTGGGTAGGCTCTAAACCTCTTAAAGAGGCCTATCCCAGATTATATAATGTTAGTTTTGATCATAACATTTCTGTGGATGAGGCCATCCAAAAAGGATGGAGAGGTTTTAAATTTAGACGTACACTACTAGGGGAATTATCTGATCTATGTGGCAGTTTAAAACTGAGATGCGAGGAGGTTAGAATGTTTGGAGGTAAAGACCAACCTATGTGGATGCTAACTAAAGATAGAAAAAAATTCTGTGAAATCTCTTTATGATTTCCTATTAAAAATGATATTGTTTTCCCACACAAATTCCTGTGGAACTAAAACCTCGGCTAAGATCAAGATGTTTCTCTGGCTTTTGGCTAGGAAGAGCATCCTGACTAAGGATAACTTGGCTAGAAGAGGTTGGCAAGGGAGTAAAAATTGTGTCTTCTGTGGGAAAGACGAATATGTTGATCACTTGTTTTTTTTCCTGCTCTGCGGCTAGATTGATGTGGAGTCTTGTTAAATGCTCCTCTGATCTCAAAAATATTCCATAGACTCTGAATGACTGCCTAAATCAAAACATTCCAGAAAACACAAAGACAACATGCTGGCCCATGTACCGAGTGCCGTGTAGTAAGAGCATCTCCACTCGTTCGGCCCCAAGCGCATAGGCCGGCGCATTTTCGGGCGTTCACCCGGCGATTTTTAGGCCCTGGGGCGATCAAGGCCCCAGCCACGCCCCCAGGTGATGCCCCCCAAGGCCCCAGCCACACCCTCATATTCAAACTTGATCAGTTCCTGCTCCAAAAAAAATGCCATAATCCAGCGATAGGCGCAACAGTTCGGCGATCATCACACCACAGTTCGGCGATCAAATGAAAAGTTCAGCGCACAAAAAGAAAGGACACGCAAGGAATGCATCAAACGTCGGGGTCGGCCTCCGGCGTCAGCGTTGGCGTGCGCGGGCTGAGAGGCATCGGCGCGGCTTCTGTGCTGTTGGGCGTCGTGTAGGCATCATCACTCGGGCTGGGCTATGGCGTTGGCGTCGGCGTGGGAGTTGGCGTAGGTGTCTCCGGTATCTGGTTCAGGATGAGGCCGCGCTCCGCCAGGTACCACGCCTTGAGCTGCTCATTGCCGCTCTGGAGCATGTCAGCGCCGCCCATCAAGAAAGCCAGGTCGGTGTTCCTCTTCTTCGCGACGATGTTGGTCCGGAGCAAGTCGAGTTTGACGGCGCTGTTCATCATCAAAGCCGCCCACCGCGCCTTAGTTTTCTCTTCTCGCAGGGCGGCCCTGGTCTTGGCATCGACGAGGCAATGCTCGATGGACTCTTGCACACGTGCGACAGTCAACTCAGCGTGTTTCGCCTTCTTGGCCCCTTTGTTGCCCTCCAGGCGCGTGTCGGCCGTGCCCGGGATCGGCGCGTCCGGCTTGTACGTCTCCTTGGCCTTGGCGAGGGTGTGCCGGACATCCGCCCACTTCTCGCACTTGTTGATCCGCTTGAAGACGTGGAGGTACATGAACTCTTGGTCGCCATTGTCATCATGGAACATTGCAAACATGCGCAGCAGCTGTGCCGAGGAACGAACATCAGTCGGCGTGGGCGCACACATGGCGAAAGGTATAGGGGGAGGACGGCGTGTTGTACCTGATCCTAGACGCTGGTGCCACTCTCTGGATGAGCCATGACCTCCTCGATGATCCCATGCCATTTGTTTCATGCTGTTTGGATGAGTCCCCAATGGTTCGCCATCGCCTTTGATCCACACTGCATGTAGACGCCTTTGAAGTAGGGGTCGAAGAGCTTGCGCTCGTCGAACTCGGCCTTGATGCAGTCCCAATACGTGTCGATGTTCTGGTTCATGCCGGTGATCAGGTCGAGGCAGACGACTTTCCACGCTTCGGCAAGGCACTCGTCTTCCTTGGACGCCCACTTGATGCGCTGCTCGCCGGTCTTGGCCGCTCGTTTCTTCTTCTTGCCTTTCCTCGTCGGAGTAGGCGCCGGCTCGTCCTCCTCCTCCTCCTCCTCCAGCTCTTCCTCGCCGTAGTCGAGCGCACCATCCATGTCGCCGAGATCAATCGAGTCGTCTTGGGCAGTGAACCCGGGGAAGCGGCGGCGGCAGCCAAGCCGGCTGTGATGATGTCTTCTATGTCAGCCTCCGTTGCATCGGCGTTGCCAAGATGAGACGAGGAGGCTTGTGAGTAGAGCAGCTGGCTGTGGCGGAGAGGTGGCATCGGGGAGGCTGCGTAGTCCGGCGGCGAGTACATGTATGGAGGGTACTGCATGCCGGCGAACGCGGGCGAGGACATGCGCTAGACCGGGCGACCATGAGGGAAGGTGACGTTGGGGTTGAACCCACTGTGTATGTTGCCGTCCGCATAGCCCGATGACGGCATGCAACCCCATGGTTGTGGCGACGACGAGAAGCCGGCCGGAGATCCGACGCTTTGCTGGCTCCAGGTCACGTGCGGGCTGATGTCTACTACACAACCTTCTTCTTGTAGACGTTGTTGGGCCTGCAAGTGCACAAGTTTGTAGGACAGTAGCAAATTTCCCTCAAGTGGATGACCTAAGGTTTATCAATCCGTGGGAGGCATAGGATGAAGATGGTCTCTCTCAAACAACCCTGCAACCAAATAACAAAGAGTCTCTTGTATGCCCAACACACCCAATACAATGGTAAATTGTATAGG